CACATACAAGTAAGTCTGGGTTGTTAGTATCTCAACACTAGTTTAAGTCTATCCCTCATTCTTTCACTTTCGTGCACTTCTTGCACGGGATGTCTTCTGATGTTTTATTTGTCTTAAATTCAAACTTATTTATCATATATTCATACAAGTGCTGACTTTACTATGTCTAGTAAAGTTATCCCCAAGCATTAGTAGTGAAATACACATTTTATTACACATTATTTTTATTTTATTAGCTTTTAAAAATTATAACTATATTCTGTAATTATTTATAAATGGCTTTTGAGGATAATAAGGGAGTAACAAAATATTTGTTTTTAAAAAAGAGGACAGAGTCTAAGAGAGTCAAGGATCAAAGTCTGGTCCATGATGGCTACTCAGTGTGTAAGAGAAGACAGCAAATCACAAGCCTTCTACATTTACCTCTGTACTGCTTCATTCCATGACTATCACGTATTAGTTGATACCGTGATGGCCAGAAAGAGTTAACTCCCCTACCTAACTAATCTAACTTTCTAAGAGGTAGCTGGATGAGGAGTCAGGAGACCAGGTTTCTAGTTTCTGCTCTGCCACTGCCAGTGTGACCTTTAGCAGTTCATCATGATCACTGTAGGTCCCCATTATTTCTGCAACTGTAAAATGAGGACACAGGAATAAATTACTTTTAAGGTTCTTTCCAGCTGTATTAAAAAATGCATAATCTTGATCCTAAGACTTAGGCACTGATAAGAAGAAACGGATTCCTTTAATAAATGTATATAAAATGTATCCTGTGGGTCTCAATTATATTTCCAACTACAATATTTCTTTTAAAATATTCAGTCAAGTCTTTAAAAAATGCCATGCCTTATAAAAAATGAAAATGTTTCCTTAAAAAAAAGCATCCCTACACTTTATGTAGTGAGCACACTTATGATGAGGACACAGCCTCTATTCTGAAGGGTACATCTACTTTTCTATCACCATTCTCCTTACTTCTGTAAAAGTTACAGTTTGGCTGTGAATATCTGAAATAAAAATGATCTTATCTGCTTTTCCCGTCATATATTTTGGGCAGTTCTAACCTTCCACACAGAGGTTTTCTAAATTCTAACAGTCCACAGAACTAACAATTCAACAGAATCTATGTCCAACTAAAAAGTGACTATAAATAAGATGTTTAATGCTATGGTATATGAATCAGCTGCTTGCTCAAGTAACTTATTTACAACCAATTTTGCCCTAGAGCTTTTGAAAAACACAATAGAAATCTGTTAAATTGGCAGTCTTGCTGAACTTCAACTATTTTATCTAGCTTGATCCACTGTAACAATAATTGAGAGGTTCTCTTTGATGAAATGTGTTTTTGATTTGGAGCATAGGTACAAAGATCAAATGGACCATACCCCTTATTTAGATGGCTTCTTGCTATTCCTTCTCTTGGAAAGGACATATTAATATATAAGGCCTAGGAATGCCATTTAACGCCAAACATACGTATGCTTTAGGAAAACACTTAAAAATGCAGTGCATTAATAGTAAGATGCATACATTAATACATTCTTATGTGGTCTTCAGGAGAAACCATTATCACTTTTTAAAAAATATTGACCACCTGTTACACGCAAAGTGGGATTGAATTTCTCAAACGTTGACTATAAGACTTTTATTTTTGCTAGGAACATATCTAATCCTTAACACATATTCATTAAACAGGTATACAATCAAGTCTTTGGTATCTTTATTTGAATGACATATAAACTCCTGCAAAGCTTTCATACCAGGTTTGCTTACTTCTGCCACCCAGCTCATTTCTGGGCAGTCTGCCCATTTTCCCCACCTCCCCACAAATGGGTTTTGGTGTTTGAGATATGAAAGCTCATTTAAAAATTAACCTAAATGCAAGAAAATAATTAGAAAGGCAACTTGCCTGCAATAACAATACAAATCTTTTTTAAACCAAACATGCAATACATTCCAAAGACAAACACAAATGACTTTTTAAATAACCATGATTTTACATTATCTTTGCCTCTACTTCTCTCATTAACATGAATAATTCAGAGTACTTACTATACATGGTAAAACTGTTTCTCCTCAATAATTCATTTTTAGTGTACAGAAAAATAAGATGTAACATGTTCTTATGCAATATCCAAAGGTTTTAATTAGACTATATTTTTAAAGGCAACTGTAGTTTCAAAATTATCTGTAGTTTGGGTTTATTCTGTCAAAAGCCATTCTTCTAAGGAGAATCTTAACGCTTTCAAGGCAAAGAGCAGTATAGAACAGTGTAGCCGGTGATAATGCCCCACTTTTTCTTGGTTCCTGATAATCTTCAAGTACATATCAATTATTTACAAAGTGTGAAATCATCGCTATCTTTTTCCTCAAAAAATACGAAAATGCTTTGGGACATTGCACCTGTGTTTGAGTGAAAAGAATTTTCCTAATGTGCTGGCTATGCTAAAGGAACAAAGGATTTACTATGTAACTAAATTTTGAATGATAAAATACCCTAATATTGAAGTTCTAATTAGAGCAAACACCCTTAAATGGGAAGCCTTTCTTGGATAAGGAACTGAATATCTCAAATCTTGCTTTATTGATGACACCAACAAAACAGAGTGTGAATCTATCTGCTGACCAACTCATCCAGATTCCCAAATTCAAATATAAAGAACACTATACAGGTAAACATGTTATTCATTACCTATCTCACCTCCTATGCTATTCATATGCAATACTGATGTGGGAAACAATGTGTATTTCTTAGGTTTACTGAATTTGGAGTTTGTAAAAGTAAGTTAGTCTCTTATTTTGTGAATTCTTCCTTGGAAGATGTTACACTTTCCTGGAAACCACACTATGTTTCTGAAGTCACGGGGCTGTTTAATGCCCTGCTTCAGAGCATCAGATGCTACCCTTGTGACCAGGAAGAAAGGAAAAGAAGGTCATCAGGAGGGCCCTGCAGCTGCACTAATTTCCAGCTTCTCTCTGGTAACAAAAAGGTTGGGGTGGGGGGAAGCAATCAGATTTTTACTGGAGTATACACCAGCCTTGGCCAAGTGCTTTGAAACTTTTAGAATGTCTTCTTTCACTGAAAATAAAAGAAGCAGAGCTTATGGTGTAATAAGCCAAACACAACAGTTACTGAACTTGGGTCAACACTGGATACCATTACAGCTTTCAGGATAGTCATGGGAATGTATGAAATGAGTAAGTACGTTTTGATACCTGTGAAAATAAAACATTGTGCTGTAAGTGAGTGGGAGAGAACAGATGGTTGGTAATGATTTAAAACATTTATGGTTTTGGACTGTCACCAAGCCTCTGTATTAAAAAATATGGTGTTTAGTTAGTACATACCAACATCTATATGCAAGGTGCTTATTTTCTGGAGGACGGTACTGTAATGAAGGAGATAAAAACCGAATGAGGTAGGAGGAACATTCTTCCCATTTTCTGGGGGCATTTAGTGTGTGCTATTTCTTATTGACTATGTGCAATCCTAATGTTTTCCATACGATGAGAGGATTTTAATTTTTCCTCAATTACTAGTCAACTGTAAGTGCCTAGGAATCATATTCTGTTTGATCGTATGGTGTAGAATTGTAATATTGCTTTGTAAATTTCATTCACTTTGATTCAAGCTCTTAAACCCTTTGAGCAATAATAAAAAGTGGTAGTTCAGGGTGCTCTTGCCCATGAAAAACAACAGCATTCACCTTATCCTCACGTTGGTTGGCAGGCATATGGTGTTATGATTAGGTACTGCAATTAGCAGGTGCCCGGCAACTGAATCAGAAGACAGATAAATACTAAATATGGTCACACTGCATTTGGGTGAGTATATGTGAGTTGAAAAGAGGCCCATGGCCTTCAAACAGAGAGGAATAATAATGTAAATAAAATTATACAAAGATAGATTAATGCAATTCTGAGGTTAAAGTGAAGAAAAATAAACATTGGTAATACTCTCAATTATCAGAAAAACTGCGAAAACGGAGTCCTATTAAGCATCCACGGCGTTTTGATTTGAATCTGATAGCATCATAGGGAGAAAAAAGTCACACACACATTGTATGTTATTCACTTGCCATCGCTTTCAAAACGCTGGGAATTATTCAGGCACAGTTTGTTTGTGGGAGGGAGCTGGGGGTGGACCGCAGAGAGAGAAAGGAGGAAGGCCTGCAGCTCTAGACTTAGCACCTGTAAACTTAGTTGGAAATAACTCCTGACAGGCATCAACCTAACACCTTCTAACAGAAACATGCTGATAGGCAGGATGTTCAAACGGGGCAGAAGAGGCAGCAGGTAACCCTGTGAGAGTAACAGCAGCACACACACACACACCATTCCTTCTCTCCCCAACCCACTTGCAGCCCCTCCTCAGATCGCCTCTCCCAACCCCTCTGCTCTGGCCATGATCGTACCTGGCCTCCCGGTCCCCCTAACTTCCCCCCCCACCTCGTTCTCAGCCTGCGCCCGAGCCTGAGCCAGGTCGCGGAGTTTGAGACTGACGCAAAGGAGGCACCCCCGCAGCAGAGATGCTCGTCTGTCTGCCACACACACGCTGGAGGACTGGACAGACTGACAGCAGAAACTCAAGACTGTTCCTGCCGTCCTCTTTCCAACCTCTGCTGCCCCAAGAGGGGTCTGACTCCGGAATGTGGAGTCCAGGGTGCCCCGCTGGGGCGCAGGAAGGCAGCTCAGGTTGCTGACAAGTTCACGGCCGTCCTTCTCCAGCACCCCCTCAAAGTCAGGATCCCTTCCTGCTCCCGCCTCCCACCTCCTGTCCTCCGTCCACTGAAGTGAAGGGAAGTGGGTTGGAATACTGAACGAGGGGGAGATCGGAAAAGGAAGATGCCTCCCGCATCCCCAGCGGCGAAGCACCTGGAAAGGTGAGACTGCACGTCCCCGCCCACCAGAGCCCGCTCCCGGCGTGGGTACCTAGCAGCGCCCCGTCATCTCTGCCCCTCCAGTGCCCCCAGCCCCAGCCCCAGCTCCAGCGCGGTTACCTCGCGGGCCGCTGCCGGGCGCTTGCAGGTGCTGCTGTTCCAGGAGCGCAGCTTCGGAGGAAACTTCCCCGCGCTCCAGGGCAAACTCCTGCGCACTCCTGGAGGCCGTGAGGTGGCTGAGAGCTGAGCGCGGTGGCGACGGGAGCCGGGGCAGCTCCGAGTCGGGCGCTCACCCTGGCCCTGGCCCTCGCGCGTCCGGCCGGGCTGGGGCTGCGGCACCGCCTCCGCGCCCGCTCCCGCCCGCGCCCCCGCCCGCCCGGGCAGCTCCGCCCCCCTCTTTTTCTCTCCCTGGCGCCCGCTGCCCGCCCTGCCTTCTCCCGCTCTGCCTTTGTGGCTCTGTCGTCCCCTTTCGTCTGACTTTCTGGCCTCGCCTCCGCTGGCGACTCACCCTCCCTCCTAGCCCCGCGTCCCAGGGCTCAGGTGCCACCCCATGCCCAGTCGAGGAAGTGATTACCCTCGCAGTTCTTTCCCAATTCGCCCTCTCCTCTCCCCTGCCCTGGGGTCTTCTCCTAGCTTTTCTAGAAACGCAGTCCTGAGGGGTACATCCATAGGTTAGAAGGCTGTCGCAGACATCAACTCCAAAGTCAGAATGTGTTTTGCTTTACAGACCGGAGGTGATGTTTGTTTGTTTTGATACATCAATTATAATAGATCAATAAAGTGCTTGTTGTAAGTACGGCTAAGTTCAGCAGCAGGTTTGTGTAAACCAGGGCTCCTTCAAAATGAGCCTAGGACCCATTTATAATGTTCAAGACCTAGGAGATTTCTCAGCCTGAGCCAGGCTGAGATTTCAAAATCGGACAAGCTGAAGTTGGCGGTTTTAAAGGGCTTTGCAAAGACCAAACACTAGAATAACATTTTTAAATCATTAAAGGAAACACCAGGCTTTGGGAGGCCCAGGCGGGAGGATCACTTGAAGCTAGGAGTAAAAGGCTGCAGTGAGCTCTGATCCTGACACTGCACTCCAGCCTGGGTAACAGAGCAAGACCTTGCCTTGAAAGAAAGAGAGAGAGAGAGAGAAAAGAAAAAATAAAAATGGTTCATTAAGGTTTAAAAATTAGTCCTAAACATTATGCTAGCAACAATTTGACCAAAGTAGGGCAAATAAAAATAAATGAACCCTTGTTTGCTTATTTTGCATTCAGATGATTTCTATAAATTAACAAAGAAAAACTCAACTTTTTTTTTTAAAGCATTAACTAGTTAAACCTACCTTATTATGACATTAGAATTTTGTTGTTTTTGATGAAACTGAAATATTAGCCTTATGCATTTCCAGTAGGTCTTATTCTTATTAATGGTTTAGGAATAACACATCTGGTAGTAGTGAACTTTGGTTCTTTGAAGAATTACCATTATAGAACTTGTTTGCCTGATGCTGGTTTCTTTTTAAACAGAGCCTGATTTTATTATTCTGTCACAAGTGTTTTATTTTCATGCATTTTTAAAAATTGGGGAAAAAACACATTTTTACCATTTTTAATGTAGAATTCAGTAGTGTTAACGTACATTCACATTGTCGTAAAATAGATCTTCAGAATTTCTTCATCTTGCAAACTTGAAACTTTATCCATCAAACAGCTCCCCTTTTCCCTCTCCCCTCTAGCACTTGGTAATTACCGTTCAACTTTTTGCTTCTATGAATTTGACAATGTTAGAGCTCTGATATGATTAATATCCAGAATATATAAAGAGCTCCTACAACTCAACAACAAAAAGTCAAATAACCTGATACAAATGGGCAAAGGACTTGAATAGAAATGAGTTTAATTTTTTAAATTTGTATATTTGCTGGGGTTTTTTTGTTCTGTTTTGTAGATTTCTTTTTATTTCAGCTTAATTGTAAAGGAGTTTTAAAGTTATGAATGCCATATAAACACATTATTGAAAATTTGGAAAATAAAAAAAAGTAAACAAATCATTCCACAAAAGCAAACCATTGTAATACAACTTGCTGATTTATTAGCTTTTAACCCATATAGGACATATAGGACATATCCTTCATATACGACAGATTCTCATTCTCCAATAGAATAAATGTTTCTTGAGTTGAACTTTTAAAGAAACAAGCTAGTGTTCCTTGAGCTGTATTTAACTGACACATGCCTGGTAGGCAATTGATGAGTGCCCCTTGAATGAACTAACCATTTAACTTATTCGCTCTTGGTTTGGTTCCCTGTTTATCCATCCATGTTCTATGAATTCTTGGAGTTGGTACTATCCATGATACCACAGCAGTAAGGAAATTCAGGCCAACCTCATAATATGTGAACTCTACTTCTTGCCTGTTGCAAGACATGCAAATTTTGTGGTCTGTGGCTTCTCAGAAGTTGAGCAAGAATATCATTAGAACTGTATTTGAATATAGTTCTATGCTCAAAATCAGCATAAATTGAAAAGTTTTAGTAGCTAACAGGGGAAATGGGCATGATCAGGTCAACTTATTGAATTTGCTTGATTGAGGAGCTACTAGACATTGCTAGTCCATTATGGGGTTTTCTAGTCTTTAGAATCTATTTTATTCACTTATCTATCACAGTAAATCAAATACTTATAACTGTGGCTGTGTTTCATTCCTAGACCTCTGTTTAAAACTGATTTTAAAAAGTTGAAGAATTACTACTATAGAAAATTGAATGTTATTAATATCCAATGTTGATGAATAAAGGAACAAAAAATTACCTAAAATGTATACCAAGCACCAGTCTAAGATGCATCTTCTCATGCCATTTGATTGGAAGTTATATTGCTATGTGAAAATATTACCTTTTAATTTTGGAGTTAAACTAATTTAATTTTACACAGTGAATTGTTTCTAAGACATTGATTCACAGCATGTTTCTAAACTCTCCAGTCTATTAATTTTGTTTAGTTCTTTCAATTTCTTAAAATGTTTAACTATTGACTGCTTCTGGGCAAGTGTGAAGCTTATGGATCATTGTTCCTTTAATGAATAGGTTAGTAACAATCATGGTCCATCAACGTGGTTTCTGCATCAAAACTCAAGGTATATTCAATAGCAAGAGTGCCTTTATAGAAGGAAGACGTCATCATTCTCAGGTTTATTTGGACAAGACATACAATGCTGACACCGTTATGCTAAGCACAACGACAAAGTTAAACTTAACTTTGAAAGTGTAACTAGTAGTATAAAGAATGACTTCAGTGAGCTGCTCACACGGATGAAAAACGTGTGTAAGGTGACCTGGGGTAGAGAGGTAGGAAAAGAGTAGGAAAGGATATTTTCCTGGTTTCCTTATGTACCAAAAAACAAAACAAAACAAAACAAAAAAAACTAATTTAAGGTAACAGCATGACACTGCTAAGGGATACTTCTTGCTATTTTTGAGTTTACACTTTTCTTTAATCATGCAGGTGTAAATGATGACTTGGCTTAATGAATGGCCAAAGTCAAAATTCAGCAGAAATGCATTTAGCACAATATGCCAGGTCATGTGGGTGTTGCAAATACCTGTAAACCTTCTTATTTATGACTCCAACTATTTTTTCAGGGAAAGCAGGATATATTTATCTGGGAAGAGATATTTTTACACAAGACAATAGAGGATAGTCCAGTAGCTACAGTAGTTTCCCTTTATCTTATCTTGCTTTTATTCTGCGGCATAGGAATAAAACTAGAAAAAAATGATAGAATGTGATTTATGCTGATTCACGGTCAAGTGAACACAAGCTAGCCCACTGTACCAGAAGAAAAGAGTGACAGAACTCTTGAAAGAGAAGATAAAATCCACTATATCCAGATATTTCTGGGAAAAATAAAATAAAAACAAAGAACTATTAAAAATTTAAAATCACTTTTAGAAAGCTTCCATTAGTGCTATGAAATAGAAAGAGTCTTGGAGAACAGGATTTGTTCACGTTAAGTTGGGCAAGTCTTCTCTTCCTGGGCTCAGTTTCCTCATCTGCAGTGCATGAGGTCATTGAACTCCATAAGCCCTAAGTATTCTTCTGGTTTCAAAACTCCCATGATGTCTGATAAAGAACACTTACCTTGAAAAAGCTCTTCAAGTCATTTTCACCTTCACATATTGATTTATCTGTGTAGTGACATTTAAAGTGAATTCTAATCAGGAAATAAAAGGCTGATGCAGACTTTTCTTCAGTAGAAGAAATTGACAACAAAAAAAAATGTGAATACAAGGGAGAAATAAAGGCCTGATTACCAGAAGTCGATCTATAGGATACAGAATGTGGTATTGTACAAAGTAGAAATTCCTTTCTGAAATTTAAGAAGAAATCATTGTAACATCAAGAATAAATAGAAGAAAGGAGAAAGCATTAACATTTTCTAGTCAAGGAGAGATCTGGAAACATAATGATTTACCTCCTGCCATAGCATGAGGTATAGCAAATTTCATAATTTGGGGTAGATCAAAATTATTATGTGACGAAGACATAATTAAAAAAAGATTTGATTCTGTCTTTAACATTTTTTAGGGAAGGTATTGTTTTCTTAAAAATTAAAAACAAATCGAGGACCAAATATTTATAACTAAAGCACAAATTAAGTGTTCAGAAGAATATTGGGAAGAAAAAGCAGAATGCAAAGGGGAAGATGCCTCATGGAAAGAACATAGAATTAGTAGTAAATGAGGAAGAACTATGACTCCTAAAGAATTATAAATTTTAAGTTGTATGAAAAATATTACTGATCAAACAGAAAAACTAAGAGATAATTATAAGTAAATAAAATTGAAACAAGATGTGTTGCCATTATTATTATACATCAGCTGCCCCAGTAAAGCAATAATTCAAGGTCAGACAACTTAGAACAGTCAGCACCTAATAGTCTTGGTAAAAAGAGCAGGTCAATAAATATATATTGATTGGTTAATTGAATAAGAAATGCTTGCAGTTATTTTAGGAAAATCAAAGTCGCTTGGGAAGTTATGCGCGTAATTTCTTAAACTAAGCAAGTATAAATTTCCTTTTGAAACAATATAAGATAAAACCTTTCCTAATAGTTACTTTTAAGTCCTAAACAATGAAGTCTTATAACAATTTTTATAAGATAATGTGTGTATATAGCAAAACCTAAATTGGAAATAGATAAAATGTGGAAATATAAATGTTCTTCTGTAGAAAGAAATTATATTTTACATCTTTGATGGTTTTTGAGAGGTGGTTGGAATAGGGAAAATTCTGTGTGAACAATTTACCAAAAAAATGCTATACTTTCCTCTAAACCAATATTTGGACATATAAATATTTT